ATGAAGCCTCCCCTGATCTGGCCAGTTGTAGATGTGCATGTATGTATGTATGTACATGTACACACACACATATATGTATACAAATGTATATATGTACATTTATACATATACCCACATATGCACACACACATATGTATATATGTTTATAGATATACAAAGGTGTATATATCTAAACACACACACACACATATCCTGATCTGCCAGTTATATATATGTTTGTATATATGTGTGTATGGACAGATAGATAGATAGATATATAAATGATAGATTTTTTTTTTACTTGTATGTGTAACTGTTGTTTCCCCTAAGAGAATACAACTTCTTTGAGGACAGAACTGTTGCCTTTTTTCCATGTGTTCTCTGAACTTACCATGATGCCTGGCACATAGTAAGGACTTAATAAATGTTGACTTTAATTTCCAGTTCCTTTACAACATTTCTTTCCCCTCCATTCTTGCTACCTCTAAAAAAAGGAAATTGAAGAAAATGAAAACAAACAAAAAACAAATAAAAAGTCAGGGAAAAAATAGTACTGATAAGAATATCATAATTTTCTTCTAAACTATCACTCTTCCCAAACCCAAATCAACAAGTAGTAGACAGAGGGAGAAAAGAATCTTATACTCAGTGAACATCTGTAGTCCAATTAAAGTCAACAGTTTACAGGTGTTGAGAGGAAAATACTCCTACTTTACCCTCACAAATCCATTTTCTTAATATCTCTTAGGAACAAAAGCACACTTATCTCTAGGGCTCTTTAAATTTATGCAGAAATGCCAACTTCTTCTCAGTTCCTGTTGGTAAGCCAGTCCAAATGCCACAGTGGTAGAGGGAGCTCAGGTAGAGCTCACAGAGGCCTTCATCAGTGCTAGGGGTACACGTAACAATGCATACTAGCTTCTAAGATAATAATGCCATTTACATTAAATCAAAGCCTGCACCAGCAATACACCTAAGTGCCTGCTATTGGCATGGCATTATATAGTAGGTTCTGTGGATAAAGACAAAACTGAAAAAAAAAAAAAGTCACTGCCTTCCAGGAACTTACAATCTATTCTGGCATAAAATCTGTAAGCAGAAAAATAAATTCCAGATCATGGGATCATAGTAGAAGAGCTGCTAGGGAAGCTATTTCTAACCCCCTTGCTTTTAGGAATGAAGAAACTGAGACCCAGAGAAAATTCAATGATTTCCCTAAGGGGAAGCTGTGAGTAGAAGAGCACACAGGTCCTTTGGTTTCAAATCCAGTGCTCTATATTTCAGAAAGGAGAGAAAACTGACAACTGAGGGATCAGGGATGACTTTCAATGGGAGGTGGTACTTGAGTGAACCAGGAAGGAATTCAAGGATTCTAGGAAGTATACAGAGGATGTGCAGGTTGGGGAGGAACAGTCTGGGAAAAGGGCAGGTCTAGAACTCAATACTAGGCTTCATGACAAGAATGTAAGGTTGCACATTTTCCTCTCACCATCCTTTGAGAAGGAAGGAAACAAGCATTTATTAAGAGTCTACTTTGTACTATAAGTACTATTATTATTCTATTTTACAATTGAGGAAACTGAGGGGAATAGAGGTTAAGTTACTTGCCTAGGATCCATAGCTAGCAAGTGTCTGAGGCTACATTTGAACTCAGATCTTCCTGAATGCAATGGGCAGCTAGGTGATGCAGTAGATAGTGTAGGGTCTGAAGTCAGGAAGACTCATGTGCTTGAGTTCATATCTGGCCTCAGACACTTACTGGTTGTGTGACCCTGTACAAGTTACTTGGCTCTATTTGCCTCAGTTTCCTCATCTGTAAAATGAGCTGGAGAAGGAAATGGCTATCCACTCCAGTATCTCTGCCAAGAAAACCCCAAACGGGGTCATACAGAGTCAGACATGACTGAACAATGACAGTTTTTTAACTTCAGGACTAATGCTCTATCTACTGTGGCACCTAGATATCTCTGAGTTGGAAAAAGCAGAAGGAGACGTGTGAATAGAAAATAGATATTTATGTTTTTTTAAAAAGAACATAAGGAATGGAAGGAGAATTAAAAAGACTTGTATGAACTGTCATAAAGTAAAGGTCCAGAAGCAGAAGAACAATGTAATCACTGACAACAACAATGTAAATTGAAACAACATTGAAAGACAGTTGAATTGATTAATTATGATGACCAATCTTGACTCAGAAGAACAGAAATAAAACACACTTCTCTATAGAGAGAGGTGTGAAGGATGTTATATATGTTGTTAGACAAAATGTTAGCAGATTGGTTTAGCTTTGGTATAAAATAAAAAAGCAGCAATGAAACAGTAACAACAATAATACCATTAAATAGGAGAATTTAAATCTGTTGGATTCTCATCGTTAAGAAGGGAATAACATGTATTAAGCACCCGTTGTGTGCCAAGCATTGTACTAAACACTTAACAAATACCTCATTTGATCCTCACAATAACTCAGCAAGGCAGGTGCTATCATGATCTTTATTTTAAAACTGAGGAAACTGAGGCAAACAGTTCAATGACTTGCCCAGGCTCATACAGCTGAAGTTGGATTTAAATTTAGGTGTTCCTGACTCTGGGCCCAGTCCTCTATCCACCATGCCACCTATCTGCCTCAAAGAGGCAAAATAAATAAATAAGGAGAGGGCCTAGTCTTTGATCTGTGAATCAATCAACAACCATTTAGTAAGTGCTGATTATGTGCCAGACATTATGTTAGGTATTACCCCTTCTAGGAAACATTTCATTTCAGCTGGGATCTTTAGAAGGTGATGCCTTAGCAAAAAGAAACAGCTCTGTAGATGAAACTTTTTGGTGCTAAAATAGGCCCATAGTGAAGCTGTGAACTATACCAAAGGCTTGATGAGACATCTCAAACAAATAATTATGCCTAAGACTTCCTTAGAAATTTTAGGGCATTCTGCCCATTTGTTGTTGGAACAACTTTTTCCCTAGAGAGATTGCCCTGGTTTTGTGTTCATACATGCTAGAAACTTGTTAAATTGCATCTTAAAGGACCACTGCATCGGTTATGTAAACTAAATTATAATCTATTGATCTCTGCTTATACTGGCCTCAGGATACAAGACATGGGTGGTTTAAGGGTGGTGCTAATATGAATCAGAAAGTTCAGTCAGTCTCATCAATGAAAGGTAGAAAAATATTATTGATTTTATTTTTCTAGTTTAAGCCTAAGTTTCTTTTAGAAAGCAACAGTATTTCACATCATCATAGCACCCAAGGGTCTGAAATGCCTCATTTTCTTCTCCTAAACAGACCCAGAAAAAATCCTCATTTCACGAGTTGCACAAATTACAAATCTTTTACACTTTGAGTTATCTAAATCTAAGATCAGAATCCCAATCTCTAGAAGTGTAGTAGTTTTAACCAGCAGGCTGCATTGCTCAAGAGTTTAAAAAGAGAGGAGAGGGGAAAACATTCACAATTTTTCAGTTTTCTTCTACAAATTTCCTCTGACCTTGGGACCTAACCATTTGATTCAATCTTCTTTTCCCTCCTTCTGCTGAATATTTTTTAACTAATGCATTCTAGACACAAATCTCCTGCAACATCAAGACAAAGAAAACTCAAAAATATCTGAGCGAATGAAGCCACTTTTATCTCCTTAGAGGAAACACAGACACAAACAGCTACTCACTTTTGGAGCCCTACATATGTTTCACTTGTAGGCTAAGATGCCTCCCCCTCCTCCTAGGTTCACAAATCTCTCATCCAGAGCAAATGTAGTCAGGTCTTCTGTCCGAACCGTCTAGCAGCTTTTTTTTTTTTTTTTCAGATGCGAATTGACATCTCGCTTCTCCCCAAAAACGCAAAGACTCTTTCTTGGCTCCTTAGTCTTAACATCAAATACAGAAACAAAATCCACACAATCTCAGCTCTCGGCTGGAGACTGGGAACAGTGTAAATGCCGAGATTTAACCTTACAGAGGTCACCCTATTCCCAAAAGTCCTGCAGCTGTGAAGTATTCCTTAGCTATTGTTTCTTCAAGTAAATGAATGAATGAGCGAACAAATAAATAAATACTAATATGCTACATAGTCATCCAACTAAAGAGCAGCGGGCGGATGGTGGTATTAATTCATTAACCTCGCTTGTTTTTTTTTTATTTATTATTATTCATTCATCTCTTGTGGGCCTGGGTCATTTTTTAGCATGATTAAAGACAGTAAGGAGAGAATATAGAAAACATCTGTCCCTCCAATAACAAGAAGTCACCCTTCTTTTAAAAACCCTTCCTTTCCCCTTCCACCCCAAGGTAGCACTAGTGTTTCTGAGTAGGGGTCCCTCATTATTTTTTAATATTGCTGCCTCCAGTTCATCTGCATCCAGCCAACTTTCCTAGCACAAAGAACCCGCACCTCCCGGACCTGGCATTAGGCTCCTTACGCCCCCTCCCCACCCTCCTTCTGTCCACTCGCAGGTGCGAAGGAAGACTGAAGAAGGCTTCCTTCTCCTCTCCATCCCACCTCGGCTTGCGACGTTAAGGGCAAGGGGCGAGACTGTAGGGGTGAGACCCTAGGTGGTCGCGCAGGCGGCTACTGCGGGCTGGCGTTTGAAGGCTCTGGAGGAGGCTGCGTGCGGCTCCTTTAAGGCTCCCTGTCAGTCGAAGGCGAACGGGGCCGGGCTTGAGGGGCGGGGATTTTGCTGGAGCTGCACGGAGCGTGTTTCACCTGCAGTTCAGACTAGGCGGAAAAAGAGGAGCGGGCGGCAGGGAGAGCGAGCGCGCACGCCAAGGAGAGACCGAGAGAGGGAGGGGAAAAAGCAGGGAGAGCGAGCGGGCGAGAGACAGCAAGAGAGTTGGGTTCCCCAGAAGGTGGAGGCAAGGGACCAAAAAGGTGGGGGTGGCGGGAGGGGGTGGGGGGCGGGGACCGGGGATTGCGCTGCCGGGCTGGGAGCCGGGAGCTGGCGCGGGATAGCGGCAGCGGCAGCAGCGGCGGCGGCGGCGGGGGCGGCGGCGAGGGCAGCGGCAGCGGCGCGTGCAGGCGCCCGGGCGCAGCGGGGAAAATGACTATTGGCTCCGGAACTCTACTTGTACTGCTGTCGCTCTACGGCTCGCTCCGGGTAAGTTTCGTGCCCCGCTTGGTCGCCCGCAGCTGCAGCTGGAGAGCGGCTAAGGGTCCCTTCTCCTGCTCTGCTGCCTCTCACTCCTGCTTCTCCACCTCCTCCTCTTCCGAAGCCTCGGGCTCTTTGGGGTGCAGAGGGGAGGCGGTGGCGACCGGGGGTGGCGCAGGCTTCGCTCGCTTTCTCTACGCGCGCACACAAACACACCACACCGCGCACACAAACACACCACACCACACCACACACACACACACACACACACACACACACACACACACACAGGCACACACATACCCTATACTGTATGTCCTTCTGAGTGCGGGTGTGTAGCGGTGTCTCGCGGCTGAGAACGCTGGCACGCTCTCCAAAACACACTCACACACCCTCACACAGACATGCACAGCCTCCTCCATCCATCCATTCATTGGCGCTGGCAGCCCCCAAGCCCCTTCTGTCTCTTCTTGAACTGAAGGGCTGTTTGGAAGCACAAGGCAGGGGAGGTTCGTTTGGTCTGGCGACACGGAGCTGGGTTCTCTCTATGTGTATTACCACGCTACCTACAGCTGAACCAGCTAAGCCTATTTCCTCTTCCCCATCATCAGCTCTTTTGGGCTCGGATGCACGGAGCCAGCCGATGTCTCGTAGGGGAGCCAGGGCGGCTGTGGAGTTGGCGAGCCTAGCCTGGAGCTGGGGATGGGAGGGAAGGAAGGGTTTGGCTAGCATCTGGAAGAGGAAAGTATCAGTGTAGGGAGGGGTGGTGGTGGTGTAGATGTGTGGCGGGGTTCCAACTCTGCTGCCGCTTGCTTTGGGCTTTGCTTAGATGGAACAACACAGTCTCCGCTCAATTTTCAGGAAATATATAAATAAATAGTATTTGCAGGTGAGTATTGGCATACCTCTGGGGTTCTTCTTCAACAGGCACAAACATACCATTCACATATACTCCCATAATACCCAAGACCCCACAGGGCAATTTGAAGCTAGAGTATCTTGTTAACTTTAGAGCCTTTTGGCTTCTTGGCTGTGGGAGGTTTTGAAGCACTCTCTCAACATGGGAATATAGGAGTCAGGGTCAGCAAGGGATAGTGTCCCTTCCCACCTTGTTCTGCGGTTCATCTTTGGAAAGATGCTCTTGCTTTTATTTATTTTAAAATCTGTGCAGGTAGCAAGGACTCCATATGGGGAACAGACTTGGACTTGGTCCTTTCTCCCTCTAGTGTTAGATGGGGCCATTCTACCCCCTTGTTATTACTTGCACTCTTCTCCCTTTGGAAGGGGGTGTCTTTATTCTTCCCTACCCACTGCATAGGAATTGGCATGGGTCAGTATCACTGCAGGTCTAGTGATCCAGGGTGGGGGTAGTAGGTTAAGATAGACTCTAACCTGTTCTGCAGGTTTGGGGAATGTGTGGAGGGAGGGCAAAGACCTAGAGATCGTCCCAGAACAGAGTGGATCTGGGGGATATGCAAAAAGTCTTGTCTCTAGAAGGAGGTTCCTAGCATAGCTTTTAAACCTCAGAAATAAACAAAAGAAACCAGTCGTGATGTTTGTTTTCAGATCAGGGGAAGGAAGGGCCTGGTGTGAATTATGTACTCACAACCGCTATCTTTACAGGGAAGAGCTGGGGCTAAACTTTGTGCTAGCGTGTAATAGCCCTGGCAACCAACTAAGGACTTTGGGTGTGCCTTTGGTTTGTTTGGCAAATGAGAAAACAGTCTCCATACTGACATTTTAAGGGGTGTGTGTTTGGGGGGAGGGTACACTTAATGCCTCAAGTTCTACCCTGGATGTGTGGTTAGTTAGGGAAGTGGGAGGAAGAGACAGCATCTGGTCCTTTAGTTTCCTTGGCTACCCTATCCTAGAACTGTCCAGACCCTCCCGACAGCTTCTTCGGAACTCTGCCCATCTTGTCAGAGACAGCTGAGGTCTGGGGAACTGGCATCTCTCGCAGCTGGAATTGGAACAGAAATGACAGTGATGATTTTTGTATATTGTAAAATCAAAGAGGAGGGGTGTTTGATGCAGTTAAAGAAATGCCTTCCATAAGAGTGGACTTCCATATTTGCAGAAATATTTCTCCTTACATTGTCCTTTCCCTCTAATCTCTTTAAATGCTGGAGGGGTGTGGGATAAATAAGTCTCCTTTCTGATGATTTGGCCCTTGTCTTCACTACACTGTTTCTTAAGAAAACTATTGCTTACTACTCTCCTCATGCTCTGTAGCATCCAGATCAGATCAACCTGGCTCTCCAAGGGAAAAGAGCTATAGGGGTCAAGTTCAATAAAGAGCCTGCTGATGCTTTTCTTTCCTCTGGCTTCCTAGATGTGGAGATGTGATAGAAGTCCCTCATGGGGGTGAGAGTATGGGTGGTGAGGAGAGCTACTACTTTGAATCTGCCAGCAGGTTACATCCTCTGCCTCCTTTAAGAGAAAATGCAAGATTATTGACAGCATTCCCATGCAACTTGGGACCAAACTCTTGAGTGTCTGTCTACCTGTCTCCTTTAAGTGATAATGCCCCATCTAGAAAGTTTTTTTGGGGGGGCAGGAATGGAGGGGAAAGCATGATTTAGAGATTTCTGTTCATGCTTCTAGGACCTTCAACCTTCCCTTCCCCTCGTAGTTTCCTGAGCCAGAAAGTGTTGAGTATGAATGGGGTGGGTCCCTAAGTCCCTTGGGCCTCTGAGGAAAGAGTAAACTCCAAGATTGCCTGCAAAAGTGTGCCCTCCCCAGTCTCTCTTTTACTCATCACTGAGATCTTGAACCCATCTGATCCAAGTCAGGGGAGTTCCTATAACCCCTCAGTCAGCATTCTATTCTTCAGTGACTTGTCGTTTTATAGAAAACCCATTCCTTGCTGTCTGTCTCATCAGCCCCATTGGAATGGTTCCCTGAAGCTTGCATGCAGTGAATGTCCAGCTTAGTCTTCCTGAATAATACCTCCCTGTCTTGCATGACATTCTCTCTGTAGCTCTTCCTTTCAGTTATAACTTTAGACAGCTGAGAATCCATGTTTTCAGATTGTCTGGGAAAGACCTTCATAATTCAGTTTGAAGCCCCTTCCAAACTCTAGCTATTATAGAAAGAGAGCACATAATCATGTTATCTATTTACCTATTTTTCATTCCCTTATTTTATTATTTAAAAAAAAAAATTGTTTCTTTACCCTTAGGCCCACAATGGAAATCTTACAGTAAGAGCAGCCTGCAAACCGGGTTTCTCCGAAGAAACTTATACTGCTCTAGTCTCCCAAAGTGTTCTGCAAGGAGAAAAGTTACTTAAAGGTAGGGGGAAATAAGTTATGGTATTCTCAATTGGGAAGAGCACTCATTTCAAAACAAGTCGTAATATGTGTAATGCCTATTTCCCAGGATTGTTGTAAGACTCAAATGAGATAAAGGTCTGTAAGGCTCTCAAAGTACTACATAAAGGTCAACCATTATCATCATTATTTTGAAGTTAAGACTTTGGTACTGTTCTGCACCAGCTTTGCCTAAACAGTGTTTCTAAGGTGAACAATGTACAAATTGGACTACCTGAAAGTTATTTGGAATCCCATGTGAATTCTTTAGAATTCCTGTCATTTTTGAGTGAGGTGACTAATTTCCTGGCCAAGAAATTGAAAATGGCACATAGCCTCACCCAAATAATGTGCAGATGAGACTTTTCCCAAGTATTTTTATGTATGAAATTCAGGATTCTTAAATTATCCCTGCTTTGAAATGCATGATAAAGCAGACGTTGTTGTTGCAAATGTGGTAAACAAGCCTACAGACATTCTGTTCACAAATGTGGCATTCATTTTCATTACTGCCCCACTGACAACAAGAAAACACACATGCAAGAAGAAACTACCAATTAGCTTTATAGTAATTGCAGGATTATATTCACTTTTGTGATGGCAAACTCTAAGACAGCTTCAAAATTGAAATGACAATAGATCATCCCGGATATTGATCTGTTTCCCTTTCAAGCCAAACTAATTAAACTTTATATTTGCATGGTAAAAGAAATCAGTTTTTCTTCTCTAAGAGGAAGAAACCTCATATTTAATACATTGAGCTATGTCTCTTCCTTATCTATTCCAGATTTTCCCATTGTAATAGAATTTTCTCCGAATTCAAAGTAAAGGAGGTTGGGAAGTTTACATAATGAATTATTATATGTTAAAATCTATTGCTGTATAGATTATCAAATAACTTGTTTCTATGGCATTCAGAAAGGCACGAGTTTTATTTTCTAATTTGAACTTTCCAAGCAGTTTGTCACTGAGGTGGACTATGTAGTTTTCTTTTGAAATGAAAAACAGCTATAGGTTTTAGATACGTTAGAAGTTTGTAGTGAAGTTTGGGCTTCACTTCTAGCTTGAGTCCTGTTGAGACAGTGCAGGCTTCTATGCTGATATAACCTGTGTACCTGTTTGCATCTTCATGGTCTGCCAATCAGGATTTTTTAACTGTCTCTAATGTCTCTTATTTATAACTCATCAGGAAACATCTGAGATATCTTCTAAATCAGTCAGATGATGATATTGAATCCCTCATTGAGTGATAGAAAATTTGTAGGCACTTGGTATATTTATGTCTCCATGAGGTAGAATGTAATAGAAAATGAAAAAAAAAAAAAAAAAACAAAACCCTGAAAAGGTTTTTGAAACTGGGTGAATGTGATTCAAAAGACCACTAAAAGAAATGTAAATATTTGCATATGTGAAATTTTTAAAAAGTATGATGTATCCTGTGTGGGAATCTTTAATTTGTTGAGGATAAATATATCCATATAGTCTCATTAAAAATTAAGAATTCTCTTTTATCTAATTGTTATGTAAAGTATAACAATACTTATTGTGCCTCCTTGATGCCTTTATACCCCCAATAACCCCTGTCCCCCCAGCATGAGTGTGCTAGACTCTTGGGATGAGTTTATTCATTCATTTATATTTGTTTTGTTTCTAACCACAGCTATAATTTCATCAATGCAGCGAATCTCCTTGAGAAAACAGCTTTTACCAATGAGATTCAGCACCTTTTCTGTGATGTAGTTTTAGAGATTTGCCAGTGGCACTGAGAGGTTAAGTAATTTGCTGAGGGTTGCACAGTCAGTATGTGCCAGATTCAGGACTTGAACCCAAGGCTTCCCGATTCTAAGGCCAAGTCTCTATTCCCTTTACCATGCTGACTTTCATGGCTCTATATCTATATCAATATTGATATAGACATCTAGATCTATATATGTATATATCTATGTATATGTACATATATGTGTGTACATATGCACACATGTGTGTACATATGCACACATATGTATATAGGCACACACATGTATACATATGTGTACATATATACACACACCTAATTTTCCAGTAGATTATAAGCTCCTTGAGGGCAGAGGTTGCTTCTTTCTTTTATTTTCGTCTTTTTACTCAGTATTGTGCACACAGTAGACATTTAATAAATGTTTGTTTAATTGAATGGAGTTGTGTATAAACTTCTGTTGTCTATAATGTAAGGGGGGTAAGTGATGTCATTATATAAATACCTAAGCAAGCACATGCCTGTGCTCAAACATATGTTTAATTTGTTTGACTTTTTTTTACTTTTCAAACACATTATACCTGAAATATATAAAAGTGAGCTTTATTTTCATAATTGAGTGAAGGATTTGCAAAGTACTTCACTAAACAGTGAAGAACCCTATTTATTCTCTCTTATTTTATAGGTAGACCAAAGTAGAGATCCATTCCTTTGAGCTTGGATGTTATCCACCATTTTGTTACACTGAATTCAACTGGCTAGTTGTCTTTCATAAAGTCCATAAAATTAGTTAACAAATGGCTCTTCCCCACTTACCCTCCCCCCTTTATAACTATTTTTAGTAAAGGAGGCAAATTCTAAAATAATTAAATCAAGGAAATGAACACTCCCACAGTAAATTATAGGACTTTTTACAAGCATTTTGAATAGAACCATGTATCAAAGTAGCATGTGAATCAAGTTAAACAGATAATGACAGCTTAAAATTGAGTTATTCCAATAGAAATGGTTTAGCCTTAATTTGACAACAAAAGCTTTCACAGAGTCATTGTTTTATTATAAGTATGCCATAAGCTATTCACTACTACATTGTGGTTTATCTGTTTGCCTGCATCAGCTCACCAGCATCTTAAAAACCTACAGATTCCAGCAGGAGCTATTTGTTACACAGTAATTAACTTGTTTATGATAAATGGATGTAAGAAATGTCATGGCATTTTGTTTTATGTCTAAATGAAAAGCATTTACATTCTAAAAAATCTCATGCTAATTAGGCTTAAAATAGTTGTCTCCAATAGGGTAGCAACCACTATGTACTGTGAACCTTTGAAAGCATAATAGCTAAATATGGAGATGTGGGGTATGAGTTTAGCTGATTTGTGGCACTAGGAGATCCCTCAGATAGGTTGTCTAGTGTCTTTGCTTTTCCTAGAAAGTAGTTGAATGCAATTGCATGTACTCTTTTTCTTTAGTTTCGTTTATTTTTTTTGGTGGTTGCAGAGGGGATAATATAACTACAGACATGATTATTGATATATAGTAATATCTAAAATTGGATGGTTATGCCCTTTTTCTCAAGAACAATCATAAATCTTTAGTATGGTCTGGATACTCTAGGGTGATTACTAAGCTTGTATCTTTTTTCATGGCTTTGTTAGTAATTTATGTTTAACTTAACCTGGAGACAACAGTCACCTGAAGATTTCATGAAGTCTAATATGCTACCACAGAGCGTGCAGAGTGTCAGAGAAGCTTCAGACCACCTTGATGTCATGTTCTGGGGGTTGGGCTTTCTAGTAGGGACGAAGGCTTTGTGCTCCTTGTTATGGAATACAATGGGGGCAGGTGAATAATTCATTTTTGGGGGGGAGGGGAGTAGCATGACAATGGTGGTGGCATTTCGGGATAGTATAGTCATTCTCTAAGATCATTCCCACTTTTTTCAGAATTCTGTTGAATGTTCCCTTTAAAGTGTGTCAAGGCATGGGTAGAAGGAGGAGCAGGAGAATCGGGCTAGATAATGTCAAAGTCTCCTTCCAGGTTTAATCTCATAAGGCTATGACCTTTGTCATCTAGATAAAGTTATTTCCCTAATATAAGAAGGGAAGGGGGAAGGAGGTTAGGAGGATGAATTGTGATATATTATTACACAGTAGGAATTAATGAGGTTTGAAGGGAGTTACATGGCATCTAAGTTAAAATGTAGTCACCTACAAATTAAGGGTTAAAAATATAGACACCACCTGACATCAGCATAATAGGAAGATCACGTGAGATAACATAGGTAAAGTGCTTTACAAACGTTAATATGTTATATCAGTGATACTAATAATATTTTTATTATTATTTATACACACTGTTCTTCATGTCAATAGTTTTTAGCATGTATAACTTTATGTTGGTTCAGCAGACTCAAGATCTGTTTACTCTTACTATTCCCCTGTTTGAACACGTAGGTGGCTCTTTTTTTGGATGAGGATTATGCACCAAAAGTCACTTGTGATCACTATAAATAACCAAGGCTATCATTCAGCTGAATAAAATAGTGACCCTACTTAGTTAAATAAAGATTTACTTCCAGTGGCTGGTAGGTAAAGTCCATTGGTTCAAGGGGCTTAAATCTGGAAGGAACCTTTGAAAGCTTCTCCAATCTCCTTATTTTACAGGGGGTCTGAGGTAAAAATTGGCTTGTTAGAAGCTGGGATTAAAGTTAAATCTGTGTGGACAGGACTTAGTTTGTGGGTCTGGCTCTGGGTCTCTTAATCTCAATTTCCATTTTGATTTGATTTGGGCCAGTTAGAGATATTCTTTACATATCCACATCTGAAGCCTTCCTACTTTGGTAACATCAAAACACCAAAAGGTAGCTATTTTTTTTTCTTTTTAAGCAACCATATTGTAGTGGCAGGAGTTTATCTACTGTAGAGCTTATTGTTAATTCAATTCTTCTCCTCTGTTCCAGTCTACCATATTTTTGCCAGGTCCTTTTTGTTAAGTTCTGTTTTTAATAGGAGTACTATCAGTAGTGTGTAACTTTTTAAAGTAAAATAGTAAAATGATATAAAGTACAATTCAATGCAAAAAATGATATATAGTACAATGATATAATATAGTACAATGATATAAAGTACAATAACAATGTGTTATTTCATATTTTTTCTCTAGACCAAAACCTATGTAGAAAGGCTCACAAATATGAGGTTGTAGGATGCTGTTAAGAACCACTTCGTTTATTCTTTCTCTGTCTCTGT